GAACACTATGATTGTGATGAGGCTCTGCTGAGATTATATCCTTCTGCAACGTCCCTGCCATCTGTGGAAACATCTGTGGAAAAAGTTATGGGTTCGGATTTTGGAATCGTGATGTCAGAGCCGTCCGAGGTGCAAGCCCAAGAATGGACCTAAGCTATATTCTTCTCCCCATCTATCTCGAATGGACCTTGCTCCACTACATGTATCTGGACAGACTGCCAGGCAAGATACTTCCGGACTGATAACTCACCTTATGTAGAAACCAACAAACAGAAAACGCTCTGCCTCCACGAGCTGAAAGCTGGAACCATAACTCTTCTGCTGTCGAGTTATACTCTGGAAGAGCTATAACTTCTGGCAAGGACCCCCTCTCATCATATCTGGTTCAGCTCGTGGGGTATCAATATCAAATAACACATCCACGAAGTGCTCAAGGGGGTCGGATAAGTGAACTTGCTTACTTGACCCCTCTCCGTGAAAGCCATAGTTGCCTGAATATGTCCATAATAAACCCCTGTCCCCTCTGGAAGCCCCTTGAAAAATATTGCACCTTGAAAATTTTATTGCGTATTCCGACAGCTCTTGAAGAGTGACCGAAGGCAGGCACGAAGTGCAGCAAGACATGCTGGACACGAAAGCAAGACGCAAAGAAGTGGGCGTCCGGTCTCCTTCCTATATTTATTATGGAGTAAATCAACCAAGGGTAGCGTTGCCGAAATGCGCGTGGAAAAGCACTTGGTCAAACCGAGCAACAGGAGGCTCGCACCTCCGAGGCCGGCTCCGCGCAGTCGGAATCTGCCAAAAAATAAATAAAAAAATTAAAAAAAGATATTTGGGCACTTTTTTTTCGAAACAGGTTTCCCGGTTCACCCCCCCGGGGCTGGTCCGGCTCCGGTTGGACTGGGGTAGCTCAACCGGCCGGTTGCCGTCCCAGCACTGGAGTATATACATTTGGGTCGAACAGGGAAGTTCAGATTTCTACAAACGAAACTATTTTGACTTTGACTAGTTCACAAACAGAGAGCACAATGAACAGGAAACAGTTCTAACTATGCCGTCTGAGGGATGTTAATGGCTGTACATCGTAGTTGATCTAACTAATCAAAATAAAAACAGAATCATTTGATTGGTTGTTTGCAGGATGGAATCTTTCTCAAACTTGTCACCTGGCATCTACCCCTCCCTCAGTACTTCCTGAATGTCCCTTGTCGTCAGCGTCCATGAGCAATCTGGAACAGCGTGCGTGTCTAAAGATGTGCACACGGCCCACCCCTGTGCCCCGAGTCCTGCTGAGCTGGCCAGCCCTGCACAATATTTATCCTCGCGTGCAGAGAGCCTTACACCGACTGATTGGCTGATCAGGAGGCGTTTTCATGGATGGCCCCCGAAGTCCTCAGGAATTATTTAACGTCGCAAACAGGACGACGATCACAGCCAATGGAAGGTCCCCGCCGGTACTTATATATAGACGTCCGGTACTCGTCTTTCCCGTAGGGCTGGCCTGCCCCTCAGAACCCATCTACAGCGCAACGAGCAGACAAAGGACAAAGCAGCAAAGCATGGGTGCTCTACTCCCAGTGGGTTGGCATGGTGACCGTGACCCAGTGCTTTGTTCCAGGGCCCTTCAGATAGCACTGCCCTCTTCTTCCAGATGCTCCACGTGAATGCTGACGACTCTCAAGGTTGAGCACACTCGACTCCTCACATGAGAGGACTCTCAAGACAGAATACACATCCTCACGATAAGAAGTGTCGAAGATGGTAGATAAGGTTAGGTGCAATGTACCTCAAAATAGCTGCCCCCAACCACATATATTCTCACAAGATGACCCGATGCCGATTGTGATGACCAATCGCTGCTTCTGCACAACCTTAATTTCACCGCCGTTCCACCTCAGCATCAATCGCACATCAGATAGTTCTCATCACACAGCGAACACCCAATAATCACCACTTAGCCTTCCTGGCGATCCCCTCTCCACCTGGGTCGCCTGCTTGCCTTCGCCCTCCTCACTACACACTCCCTACGGCCGCTCACTTAGCAGACCACATGCATGTACTGCATAGGCAGAAGACAAGCGCCAGATGAGCGCACCGTACCACAGCTCCAATACCAAATTGCAAGGAAAATGAGCGATAGCGAACTTCAGAAACCAAACAGCATCATACACATGAGACCAGTTGTGACCTCGAACCAAAAGCAGAATTGCATCATGAGTCCCACCAAATAAGATCACAGCAAAAGCTCATAAGTGACAATGTTCGAATAGTCTCATCATCATCAACAAAGAACCAATGTCGACATCCGATCTGGCGCTCGGCGCCCAGACTACAAATGGCAGATCCTATCTAGCCTATCTACAATGCCGCTGATGACGTCAACAGCTCCCTGAAGTACGAGAAGATCTCGGCCAATGCCGTTCGCCTCAAGCACCAGGTATGTCTCTCGCCTCACTCATAACCTCGATCCCCAACTCACAGATGCCACATGCACCCAAGGACCACCATGCGCCCCATTCAGCATACAGCAGCGCAGCTCGGCTACGGCTGCCTGCTCCTTCCAGCTCGCCTGTGAACGCGTGAGCACTGGCCAGCGTTAGCGCAGCATGCAGCCAGTGCCCAAATGCCGAATGCGTGGGCATACACTTTCCTAAATGGAAGTGGCCTGCCTGCTTGCGTGCAGCCTGGCTGCGCTGGGCCCCTGCCTAGAAGCTTCCGGTAGGCCCAGAGAGGCTGAGCCCCAGTCCAAACGAAACAGGCCCTGGGCCTGTGGTAGTTGCCCATGTCCAACTGCCCGCGGCCTGTGTTTGGTCCATGTTGCGAATCTGGCCCAGGGCCTGCCTCAGTTACATTCGAAAGAGGCAGCCTGGGCCTGGGCACTCTCAACCAACTGGTGCTGCGCAACTGCCTGAATTTACCCAGTTGCGTGATGACCCCAAAAATAGGCCTGTAGGCCCTGGGTCGAGCCTGCCTTCACTTAGGGCGGCCGACTGTACAGGAAATAGGGCCCAGTAGGGCAGATCGAGGCCTTGAGCCTCGCACATAGTAGAAGACTGTAACATGAACGAGAACAGGACAGGTGCGGAAAGGAAAAAACTCAGTGGGATCTTAATGGATCGGCCAAGAGAGGGAGGGAAATTACAAGAGAAGAGAAAGAAGCAGGTACATCAAAAGTCGCAACAGCATCAATGGATGGCGACAAGCGTAGTTGTGGGAGAAAACACGATCAAGCGCTACAGAGTGGAGTGGGCAAGTCAGGAAGTTTTTAGGGAAAGAAAAGTGGTGAGAGCAGGAAGAAAACAAGATCAACGGTTGCCAACTGGGGGGCCAAGGTAGTCCGACAATTTCAAAGCGGCGACTTCGGCGATTTTTTGTGCTCAGAATGACCGGGAAATCATTTCCGCGCCGATTCTGCGCATTTCCCGTCACTCTACCATGTGTCGGCTAATGGAAGAAGTACGGCAACTTTGGTGGGTTTTTGTGCTCAGAAGAATTCACAGAAAATTCTAAAAATTTGAGGGTCTGTAAATTAGTTAGTGATCTTTCCTGGAAAGATATCCGAAGAAAAATAAAAATCATTTTGCCCATGAACTGGCGTGAAGTAATTACTTCGCGGATTCGGCATATTTCCATTTTTGCCACTCTGGGACCAAGGCCAGGCCCCACACAGACCTACTGGTAGGCCATGTGCCTATTCCAAAAAACGGCCTACTGACCCCCCGAATTTTTACAGGCAGGTAGAGGGGTGGTTTAAGAAAGGACGTCATGCTTCGGAACTTCTCGAACAGAAAAGTTGCTGAATCGACAAGCATCAGAGAAAGAAAAGCCGAGATCAAACACAGGAACTGTTCTACCGGTGTGGGGGCGTAATCAAATGCCCGGTCATTATCGCTGTATCTGGACTGAAAGTGGGCCAAATACAGCCATATTGATGGGGCATTCTTTTCGCGTGAAGACGGTAGCACTTCTCTGGATGTATCTGACCCACTTTACTGGATCTATCTACTGGGTCGAAAATGCGTCCTGGTTAAAGTTTCCAAAGGCTCTTGTCAGAAACTTTTAAGGTTTTATGTCCATTGTTGTGAAAATTTGTACTGCAGCTGAATAAGATACTTCCAAGTTTCAAGTGGGAAAAAAGTTCCAAAAATTTGGCAAAAAAACCAGAATCATTGAATCTAGTGTTGCGATTAGGCCAGTGTGAGCAGTGCGACTACGTGCAGAGCGTTGAAGGGAGAGACAAAAAGAATGGTTTGTTGTTTGGTACACCCCAAAAGATGAGTGTGATGAGTTGGAAGTTGGAAACCCCCGGCACGTGCTGCTCCCCATGAATAGATTGGAGAGAGAGAGAGTCCCCCCCAAATAAAAAACAGAATCCTGTTTGAAGTTGGAATCGGGGAGTACTAGCCTTTTTAAACCGCCAGTACCTTTCCCAGCTATATTGACCGTGGGCCGTGCCGCTGAGTTCTGGCGGCGCATCTGGCTGCCGCCGGAGGTAGAGTGCGGCCTCCGTGTTAAACCACCAGTACTTAGCTATATCGACCGTGGGCCGTGCACGCTGAGTTCTGGCGGCGCATCTGGCTGCCGCCGGAGGCCGAGTGCAGCCTCCGTGTTAAACCACCAGTACTTGGCCCAGCTATGGGCCGCGGGAAAAAAAGGAGTAGAAACGTTTCTAGTCAGATGAATTTGGGCGCTCCTGTATTAGCCCGTACGTTTCCTAAAATTGTGGCGCGTTAACGGGCATGACTCTAGGAAGCACTGCTGTGGTTTAACCGCCGCGAAACGGTAAAATGACTGGGAAAGGTACTGGTGGTTCAAAGAGAAAAGAAAACAGTGGATCTGACAAGTCGATGATGTGAAGTGTCGAAGGGATGACAGTGAAATTGAAGCCTGCAAATTAGCTGGACTAGTTGTGGAGAAATTTCTTTAACCCCCCTGAAGCCGAACCCCATGGACACTATACAGTTGACGATGTGACTATGCCATGGCTGTGACTAGTGCAGGATTGCAGGGAGAGAAGAGGAGTAGAAGCCCAAGAAGAGATAAATTTGCTGTTGGCAGACCGACGCTTCATGTCTTCAAAAGCAAGGAGCTGGAGATGATTACAAAGCTCTTTTCAACCCGGATTGGTGCAGGGGGATTTGGGTACGAGCTCTTTGTTATTCTATCTCAATTATTAGCGATGTTACCAGAGTGGCCCGGGACCACTTGCCCGGCCTGGTCAAAAAATGAATTATTATAATATTATTATTTATTTTCCTTCTGCAAAGAATTTTGGTCTGACCCTGAGGCAAAAGTTGTTCAGTTTATTTTTCTGCACAGCATATATTTTTTTCCGCATATCGGTGAAACTCCGACGAAACAGTTTGTCACAGCCCCTCGTTTGTTGTCCTCTTCTCTCTCTCTGCCTACGGTTTACCGGGCAGTTCTGTTTGTGACGATATATATATTTGTGACGATATATATATGATGAGTCGGTGAAACTCCGACGAAACAGTTTGTCACAGCCACTCGTTTGTTGTCCTCTTCTCTCTCTCTGCCAACGTTTTACCGGGCAGTTCTGTTTGTGACGATATATATATATA